CGGCCCACCCCCTGACAGGGCCAGCCTTTAGTCACACAGTGCCGCCCTCCGTCGAAACCGCGCGCTTCACAGACCAGCCAAGCAGCCGGCCCATGGCAATGCACCCTGAACAACACGCCGCCTGCACCCGGGCCCAAGCATCTTACCTTTCGCTCGCGCCCATTTCACCGCCACTAGCCCTCAGGGCAACGGGTCCTACCGCGTTTTTTTGTTTTGTACTTTTTTTGTTGCACCACATAGACCGCCTCCCCGTCAACAACACCAACCTCCCATCTTTTTGGCTTTTATTTTCCCACGCCCCGCACAGCCCGCCCCACACGGAACGCTTTTTTGACCTATTTTTGCGCGAGCAACCCCTCGACACGCCGTCGCACGTCGCTCCTCCACACAACACCATCCGCACCCCCTCCACAGTACACCCTTGGTCTGCCTTGATCCATTACTCATGCGCTCGTCCGTAGCAGCCCTCGTATTGATCAACAGAGCCCATTCACCGACTAAGCAACCCCTACCGCCTTAAAGTATTCCTCACCTCAGACCGCGCGCGGCCTACCGACGCCCCGAAGACCCCACCATGGCGCCCGTGGCTTACTGACGGCACTCGCACCCTGCTGGCCCGCCCTCGTGCGCCTTCGCGCACATCCACCCCACAAGCCTCATCCTCCCCCCCCACGCCTTGACCGAGATCTCGACCCAACCCCCTTTTGTACAGCTGGTCCCCTCCCCCGCCTTCCACCATATGAAAAATCCAGATCCGCACTGACCCCAACCCCGCCCACCCTGCGGCTGCCGCCCGATCCCCGGTACCTGCGCTCCCTAATCAGCCCTTTTATTTCGGACCACCACACTTCCCACCTCCGCGGTCACCCGGCGACCAGCACTCCAAGGCTCACCAAGCCCCGTCCTCTTACCCGTACCCCAGAATCGCCTGCGCATCGCCCCCTGCTCCCCCTGGTACCACTTGCCCCGCAAACCCTCAGCTACTTATCGTTTTTTTGCCATTCCCCCAGAGTCACAGCCCCTCACGCCCAAACGACCGCACACCCGTCTCCCGCCAGCATGCGGCCCCGTCTAAACGTGCCCCGCCGGGCGACCCGCCAAATCACTACCGCCGCCTCCCCCCCTATGTAATCGAACCACGCCTTCTATTGGCCACACGTCCTCCTCTGGCTTCCTCACTCTACAGAGGACCCCCCCTCAAATCTCTATAACACACCAAGCTCCAAACACCCTCCCCCCGCACCCCGAGACGCCTGCCCCCTAGCGCAAAAACCCACGTCGTCCACGCCCAGCCGGCGCCCCCGGGCTTTTTTGTCCCTATCCACGCGCCGACATTCTGCGACATGGTGCGCACTCCGGTTCCCCCCGCGTATCCTAGCACGCACTCCCGTAGCAACAACTGCTAACCGCGTCCCTCGCCCAATCGTAAGTCACAGCCGGCCGCTGCGCCCCCTTCCTGTCGCTCTGCTCCTACGTTATCCGACGCCTACCCGCAAGCACGACGCCCCTTGGCACAACCACTTGCCCCTCTACCAGCGACGCGAGAACCGGGGACCTACGCACCGCGCGCCTTCCCACCACCCCGCCCCGCCAGCATTTCTTTTATGAGCCTTCGACCCCGCGACAGCATTCCCTCTAATCCATCATGAATCAACTTTCGGACCTACAGCGCGTAGCCGAAACAAACGGCCCGACAGCCGTCAAATGTAACCACTCGCGGGTCCTTGAGCGATACCTTGAGATGCGCACCCCGCCCGCAGCACCCGGAAAAATTCCTATACCCCGGGACCTCGCTCCACAATACTCCACACCTCCCCACAGACCCCCCGGCCACGCGCAAAGAATTCAACCCCGCAACATTACTTTCGGGACAAGACAACCTCGACCGTCGCGCCCACCCCGACACCCCCGTGCCTTACACCGTTGTTACCCAGTGGTCCCGATCCAACCAAGGCCCGTTATCTCTCGTCGCGCCACGTATTTATACACCCGTCTCTGTCGCTGCCGTCCCCCCCGCGATGCCTCACCTGATCACTACATCCGTTTGCCGACGTCAATCTTGCCTACAGCCCCCCAAGCCCACTGCCCCGCCAACGGCCCGTTGACCCCAAGCAACCGCCCGTACCGTACGCGCGCCAGTATGCGAGCCAATCGAACAAGTCCCCGATCCTAATCGTTACCATCCCCCAGTCACACCCCTCCCCCTGCCTACCCCTCGGCCCGTGGCCCTTCAACCCCCATCCCCGGCTGATCTCCACCCTGGCAGGTGCTCCCCCTCGGTACGTTGCACGCCGGCAGCATTCCTATTTTTGCCTTTGAACTGCCCCCTATCCACGTCTTCTGCTCCTTCGCCGCGGGGGGAGCAACTTCTGGCGCCTTCTGTCCACCCACCACTGTCTGCCACCGCGCGCGTACACCTGGTGAAAGGCTTTACTCTACCGCCCAGCAGGCAAATCGCCCTGCCGCCCGCCTTCCATTTCCCCGAGTGCGCGGCCCAGACCTGCCCCGCGCACACCGCCTATCCCCCTGGCCTCCCACGCCCTCCCGCGGTCGTCCGCCAGCCCTGCCCCGCTCGGTCCGCCCCCCACAGCACCCCCCCGCACTTAGCCCCTCCGACTCAGAGTTCTCCTCACACGCCACCACCGCCCTCACGCCTCCCGTCGCTCACGCCCCGACCTGCGGAGCCTTCCCCGTTACCCCACCCCCCGAATCTGCACTCTCCCCACGCTAAAAACCCTTCCCCGCCGATTCCCGTCCCTTTTTTTTCCGCCCCCCCGAGGTCTCCTCTTCCGCCCGCCCTCCCCACCCGTCCGCCCCTGCCGCTCCTTGACCACCACCCACGGCCTCCTGAACACCCGAGCCCCCCCCGATCCCCCCCCTACCCCATGTCTCAGACCTCGCGTGCTGTTATGCAGACACAAATCGCAGGCTCTGAGGTAACCGAAAGAGTGAAATGAACTGTGAGAGGTCAGCAACCAGGTGGCTTCTTGGATTTTTAGTGCATGCCTGGAGACCTCTGATAGTCTCTCCTCATCACTACTATTTGCCCTCACACAACAAACTGAGCAGCTTAAGTTCACAGTAATTGCCTGGACCTGGGGTTCCCAAAGCAGGGGCCTTTGCCAGATGCTCTACTTCTCTGCTCTTTCCAGGCCATGTTGTCAAAACGAGGGATTTTCCTTCTCCTCACAGGCAATGCAGTTACCTCAGATGCCTCCTGCATTGATCTAGAATCCCCAGGAGTTAATGACTTCCCTGATGGAGGTTGCTTTCTTTGGAAGCCTCTTGTGCCAGCTCTGTGCAGCCCCTAGCTTCAGTGGCCACTGGGGGGCTGCCTAGCCAGGATGTCTTGCTCCCCATCAGCTGCAAAATCACTGCCTTCCAGGGCCACCTGCATGGTGACTGGCTCTCCTCAGGTCACGGGAAGCTGGGAGCAGGACCCTGGAAGAACTCAAGTGTCTTTCCTTAAATGTTGGGCATGCATTGGCAAAGAGAATGGGAAGAGACAACGACCTGGCTTCCCATCTACAGACAGTTCAGCCAAGGCCATGCCTAGAGTGGGATTGGCTCAATGGGTACAGCAGAACATTGGAAGAGGCACATTTGAGCCAGTGCTGCTGGGGGTCTCCATGGATTAAAGCCAGGAGTGCTAGTGAGGCCCGTGGGTGGGGCTTCACTCTTGATTCTTGAGAAGCCAACTCCATGTCTCGTTGCCATCTCACCTCTGAGCCCTGGGTGGTTCGTGGAGGCTACAGCCTTCTTTCTGTGCCCTGGCCCATCCCAAAGCACCTCCATTCACAAGGTCGTGACCTTAGATGAGTTCCTCTACTTTTGTGAACATCATTTTCCCACCCAGAATAATGTCCTTTTTGTAATATGCTTGTTCCATTCCCTGCTGGCTTCGTGGCCACAAATGGAGAGGCAGCTGGTTTCTTGAGCACAGAGCCTGAGAGACCTTGTCTGCAGCTGCTGGAAGCAGCCAGGAGACCCCAAGAGGGGGCTAGAGACTTCAACAAGGATAGGGAGCAGGGCTGCTCTGTGAGGCCCAGGGGCTAGGTCCAGCAGTGTGCTAGGCGGATTTGGAGGGGGGTTGGGGAGAGGTGAGGGCAAGCCGGGTTTGCAGGATTCCCACGGCACGGAGCCAGCGCTCAGGAGCTCCTTTCTCAGCATTCCTCTGACCCACTCTGGCTCCCTTGCACCTGGCATGGATCTGAGCTCCTTTCCTTATGGCTGAGACCCCAACTGCCCTACAGGTGGCCCCTTCTCCCTGTTCTTGCCTGCTTGGGCAGCATGGGGCCTCAGGCTGTCAGTGCTGCTAGGAACCTTGGCATTCACTTTGTTATTATGTACAGCTGGAGATAGGCAACTGCCCAGAGGGCTGTTGGGGGCAGGATCAAGCCCAGCAACCGCACCTCCTGACACAGGCAGGTTCTCCCCAGCACCAGAGCTGGCAGGACTGTTCACGGTTCACTGAGTGGAACCCAGCAATGCCTCATTGATAATCCACAGCGGAGAGAAGTGGGGCAGCCACAGAGACTGGCCAGCCCTCCCTTCTTACTGGGAGAGGCCTCTGCAGGCACTGACAGGCTCCAGAGAGCACTGTTGGGGGCAGTCAGTGTCCATACTCCCCTGGGATCTTCTCTGGGCTGTTTTCCCTGACATTTCACCTGAAATTAACTGCACATAGCTGGACTAGGAACTTTCTGAACCTGATCCATCCAGCATGTGGCTTAGGAAAAATCACTTTACTCCTTGTTTACCTTCTGGCTAAGAAGTGAAAACTCTGGGCTAATCTAGTCCTCCAGGCCCGGGAGTCCCAGAGAGTGATGCTGTCTGTGCAGTTAGAGAGCAGAGCCCCCTTGGTCATGTCCACCATCTGATTAAGTGGGCATCTCCTCTCCTGCTAGCTTTGCCCCCTCTGGGACTTGGGGTGGAGCTGGGACAGAGCCCGGTACCCCTGATACTCATCCGCACATTATTTCCCCTCTCTGCCATTCTAGGGTCGTGTGGCGGCAGCCTGGCACCTGACAAGTGAAGGGGAACCTGCCAGGGGATTACTATGAGCTAACAGCAGGACAGGCTGGCTCCGGGGGAGTGGGGATGGGCAGTGCTGCTGCCGAACCTGGGCCAGAGGTACCAGGAAGGAGGCCTGGGCCCTGGCGGGGGGCTTGGCACACACTCACCTGACCCAGAAGATATTGGACACAGTGCCCTGCTGAACAGCAGCTGTTCCCAGCGCCAGAGGACCCCACAGCCACAGTAGGAGCTTTGCGACCCTTACGCAACTGTATCTGGGACTGTGGCCACCAGGAGAAGGGACCAGCAACTTAGATGGATAGGACCTACGACGAGAAGGATCTCAGTCTATAGTGGAGTTTTCTGACGCTCACAGCACTTCTTGTTTTTCTCCTCTCAGGGTTGGGGTCTAGCTCCCCTACTCTTGCAGATGTGTTGGGCCAAGAGGATCAGCCAAGGTGGGACAACACTTGCATGGAACCCAGGTCCCCTGAAGCCCATGTGCTCTCTGTTGAGATTGGAGTTCTAGAGCTTCCTTGCTGCCAGGGACAAGGGGCCGCCTCAGTGTCTGCTCATGAGCCACAAAGACCCCGACTGCTCCAGACTGGATTATTTCAAGCCACCAAAGAGGGGGACCCCTAGAGCTGGCAGCCAGCAATCCCAAGGGACTAAAGGGCTGCGATGGACTGACCTCCCCCTCGCCAGAGTGGCAGGAGAGGCAGAGCCCCTGTGGCCCAGCTAGTGCCAGAGAGACCCGATGAAGCTCTAAGCAGGGGCTCGCCTGACTCAGGGACAGGACAGCAACTCCTGCCAACGTGCGTTCTCCCCACATTGAGGGAGGGTGTGGCAAGGGACTCCTGCCACTGTCCCCTGCTGCAGCAGCTGCCCCTATGCCCTTTGCATGTGGTGCCACAACAGTCAGGCTACGCCGTGGCTGGCCCCTCAGTGGGCTGGGAAAGGAGTGGCCACGGTGACTGCCGTGTGTCTGCCAGCACCATGAAGTGCTCCCTGCGGGTATGGTTCCTCTCCGTGGCCTTCCTGCTCGTGTTCATCATGTCCCTGCTCTTCACCTACTCACACCACAGCATGGCCACGCTGCCCTACCTAGACTCGGGGGCCCTGGGCGGGACGCACCGGGTGAAGCTGGTGCCTGGCTATGCCGGCCTGCAGCGCCTCAGCAAGGAGGGTCTCTTCGGCAAGAACTGTGCCTGTCGCCACTGCATGGGTGACGCTGGTGCCTCCGACTGGTTTGACAGCCACTTCGACGGCAACATTTCCCCCGTCTGGACCCGAGAGAACATGGATCTTCCACTGGATGTCCAGAGGTGGTGGATGGTAAGAGTCACTGCCCATCTCTGGGGGTCTGTCCCCCAGTCTAAAACTGCCAATCTGGGCCCCCTCTTGGATTTCTGGCCCCCCAAAGTGTAATGCCCATTTGACCAGAGCCATTTATAGGATCACAGATTACTGAAGGGCAAAGAGAGTGCTGACCTGATGAAGGGAGCTAGTATTTTCCAGTGCTTGTAAGGAGCTGAGCATAGGCCAGAAGTGCCTCCTGGACCAGGCAGGTAGCATGGATGCGGGGAGCAGAGGGGAGCAGGGAGCACGGCCATGGGGGGCCTGCCCCGGAAGAAGGAGGCAGCCGCCGCTCGGCCCCAGCAGTTGTTTGTGCACGAAGTTGGATCTGGGTTTTCTTTTAAGAAAACCCAAGAATCCCGATTTTTATAACTAAATATTCTAATTTATAAACATTGGCTCAAAATAATTGTCTTTTGAGATGGATCCTCATTCTCTCACCCAGGCTGGAGTGCAGTGGTACAATGATCGCTCACTGCAACCTCCACCTCCTGGGTTCAAGCGAGTCTCCTGCCTCAGCCTCCTGAGTAGCTGGGATTACAGGCATGCGCTACCACGCCCAGCTAATTTTTTTGCATTTTTAGTAGAGACAGGGTTTCACCATGTTGGTCAGGCTGGTCTCAAATTTCTGACCTCAGATGATCTGCCTACGTCACCCTCCCAAAGTGCTGGGATTACCGGTGTGAGCCACCAAGCCCAGCCAAAATAATTGTAAATACCATGAGAGCAGAGTCCCTTGCTTGGTTCTTTACAACTGCTGGAAGACTTTTTACTGAGCTAGGATAAGAAAGCCTTATAGGGAAGACTTGTTCTATTTTGTGAAATAAAGTGTTGCCTGATTATAGAGTTAAGGTAAAAAAAAAAAAAAAAAAAGGGAAGCAAAAGAGACCCTCAGGGAATAAGGAAGGTGAAGGGGCAGGGCTGCAGGAGTCCTCCCTGTCCTTCCAGTCATCACTTTTCCACTACTTTTAATTCCTTCTACCTCATGCCAGGCCTCTGGAATGTCACTCCACGGGGTCTGCAGGCCGTCTGGTTGCTGCACATGTCAAGATGGGGCTGTGTCAACACTGAGCCCCAGCAGGCTCCCAAGCCATGAGGGATGAGCTCAGGTGATCAGGCTTATCAGAACAATGCCACAGAACCTGCCTTTTGGCCCAGACTGTCAAAGTGCCTAAGGACCAGGGTCTGCAGAGCTGGGGCCACTAGGAGGACTGTGGGCTCTTACTGTGACAGCTTTTTTTTGAGACAAGTTCTCCCTGTTTCTGCAGTGGCACAATCTTGGCTCACTGCATCCTTGACGACCCAGGCTCAAGCGATCCCACCTGAGCTTCAGAGTAGCTGGGACTACAGGTGCAGGCAACCACACCGGGCTAATTTTTGTATCGGAATTCTTGCCTCAGAGCCAAGCTCCCTCTACAGATCAGTCTTCCATCCCCTGAGCAGGCCTTGCTCAGCCACAAACCCATCGAGTTATGGCTCCATCCACAGAACATTTTGTTTTATTTTTATGTATGCGTGTGTGGTTTTTTTGTTTGTTTTTGTTTTTGTTTTTTTTTGAGATGGAGTCTCACTCTGTTGCCAGGCTGGAGTGCAGGGCGTGATCTTGGCCCACTGCCAATCTCCGCCTCCTGGGTTCAAGTGATTCTCCTGCCTCAGCCTCCTGAGTAGCTGGGATTATAGGTGCCTACTACCACGCCCAGTTGATTTTTGTATTTTTAGTAGAGACAGGATTTCACCATGTTGGCCAGGCTGGTCTCAAACTCCTGACCTCAAGTGATCCACCTGCCTTGGCCTCCGTAAGTGCTGGGATTACAGGCGTGAGCCACTGGACCCAGCCTATTTTTATGTTTTTTAGATATAGGGTCTTGCTCTATAATCCCTGCTGGTGTGGGGGATAGTACAATAATAGTTCAGTGTAGCCTCTCAAAACACTAGGATTGTAGGTATGAGCATCTATGACTGGCCCACAGAACATTTTCTTTTTTTTTTTTTTTTTTTTTTTTGAGACTGTGTCGTTCTGTCATCCAGGCTGGATTGCAGTGGCATGATCTTGGCTCACTGCAACCTCCACCTCCTAGGTTCAAGCGATTCTCCTGCCTCAGCCTCCTTTTTCTTTCTTTTTTTTTTTTTCCTGAGACAGGTTTGCTCTTTTGCTCAGACTGGAATACAAAGGTGCGATCTTGGCTCACTGCAACCTCCATCTCCTGGTTCAAGTGATTCTCATGCCTCAGCCTCCTGAGTAGCTGGGATTATAGGCACGTGCTACCAGGCCTGGCTAATTTTTGTGTTTTTAGTAGAGATTGAGTTTTGCTGTGTTGGCCAGGCTGGTTTTGAACTCGTGGCCTCAAGTGATCCACCTACCTCAGCCTCCCGAAGTGCTGGGGTTACAGGCGTGAGCCACCTCGCCTGGCCACAGAACATTTTTTTTTTTTTTTTGAGATGGAATCTCACTCTTGTCCCCCAGGCTGTAGTGCGGTGGCTCGATCTTAGCTTATTGCAACCTCCACCTCCTGAGTTGAAGTGACTGTCCTGCTTAAGCCTCCCAAGTAGCTAGGATTACAGGTGCCTGCCACCACACCGGCTATTTTTTGTATTTTTACTTTTTTTTTTTTTTTTTTTTTGTATTTTTAGTTAGAGACAGGGTTTCACCATGTTGACCAGGATGCTCACGATCTCTTGACCTCGTGATCCACCCGCCTCGGCCTCCCAAAGTGCTGGGATTACAGGCTTGAGCCACCGCGCCCGGCTTACTTTTTTTTTTTAATTAAAAAAAATTTTTTTATAAAAACGGGGTTTCACCATGTTGGTCAGGCTGGTCTTGAACTCCCGACCTCAGATGATCTACCCGCCTTGGCCTCCAAAGTGCTAGGATTACAGGCGTGAGCCACCATGCCCGGCCTTTTTGTATTTTTACTAGAGACAAAGTTTCACCATGTTGGCCAGGCTGGTCTCGAACTTCTGACCTCAGGTGATCCACCTGTCTCAGCCTCCCAAAGTGCTGGGATTATGGGCATGAGCCACAGCGCACAGCCCCCACAGAGCATTTTAACTGACATTACCAATTGGTGGCCCATGGACCAAGTGCAGCTCATTCAGTGTTTTTAAAATACTAGCATTACTTATTAACATTTAGAAATCAGGATTTCAACTGGGTACAGTGGCACATGCCTGTAATCCCAGCACTTTGGGAGGCCAAGATGGGTGGATCACTTGAGGTCAAGAGTTTGAGACCAGCCTGACCAACATATGGAGAAAACCCGTATCTACTAAAAATACAAAATTAGCCATGCATGATGGCACATGCCTGTAATCCCAGCTACTTGGGAGGCTGAGGCTGTAGAATTGCTTGAACCTGGGAGGCAGAGGTTGCGGTGAGCCAAGATCCCACCATTGCACTCCAGCCTGGGCAACAAGAGCGAAACTCTGTCTCAAAAATAAATAAATAAATAAATAAATAAATAAATAAATAAATAAATAAATAAATAAAATCACACTTTGGGAAGCTGAGGCACATGGATCATGAGGTCAGGAGTTTGAGACCAGCCTGGCCAACATAGTGAAACCCCATCTCTACTAAAAATAAAAAAAATTTGCTGGGCATGGTGGCAGGTGCCTTTAATCCCAGCTACTTGGGAGGTTGAGGCAGAATGGCTTGAACCTGGGAGGCGGAGTTTGCAGTGAGCTGAGATTGCGCCACTGCACTCCAGCCTGGGTGACAGTGTGAGACTCTGTCTCCAAAAAAAAAAAAAAAAAAATCAGGATTTTATTTTTCTTATTTCATGAAATCCTCATTTTCAGTGTCTCTTGAAAAATGGGAAAATTTGGCCCTTCTGGGTTGATGATCCCACGTGGCAGCAGTTGGCTAAAGTTGCCTCTCTTTGCTGGGGCTCAGATCTGTTGGCTGTGGACCTCACCTGCCACATCACTGCTGTGCGGCACCTGCTGGCCTGTGTCTGGTTGGCGCTGCCTTGATTGATGGTCTTTGACCATCAGCTGGTTGGTACAGGTCTCACTGGTAGGAGGAGACACCAGTTTTATTCCACCTGTTCTGGCTCTGAAAGAATTTATCAGTCTCTCTGCCCTGCCCTGGGAACTCAGGGAGTTGGCTGGATTGTCCCCTGGAGGTAGCTTCTGCAACTGCAGTCCTCAGCCTGAGTGCCTGGGATGCCCCCTGTAGGCTGACTGGGAATGAGCCGTGAAGGAGGCTGCTCTCCTCTGTGGCCTAGACCTGCAGGTCCCCAGAAAATGTGTGGAGGGTACCTTGACCCCTGAGCCCCCTCCAGTGCCTCAGAGCCGCCCTTGACTAGCAGGGTACCCAATCTCCGGATGTTGAGACTCACAACCGGGGACTTTGCTGTCATTGAGAGAGGGAGGGACCCTCACTGACCAGAGGAAAGAATCCCTGTTCCCTGGCAAAGCCCTGGATAAAGAGGCCTGTGCCCAGACTTGAGAGTGAGGGCAGAGGAGGGGAGGCCAGGGCCCCTCCCTACTCACACACCTCTCCCCTTCCTCCTTTCCTGTCTTCCCCTCCCTTCCACAGATGCTGCAGCCTCAGTTCAAGTCACACAATACCAACGAGGTGCTGGAGAAGCTGTTCCAGATAGTGCCCGGCGAGAACCCCTACCGCTTCCGGGACCCCCACCAGTGCCGGCGATGTGCTGTGGTGGGGAACTCAGGCAACCTGCGGGGCTCTGGCTATGGGCAGGACATAGACGGGCACAACTTCATCATGAGGTGAGACCCTGCAGAGCCCGAGGGTGGGCCCACAACAGGCCTCTGGAAGGGCAACTGCCTCCTCTGCCTTGTCTGGCAGGGTGCATGATGCCAGCTACCAGGGTGCTGTGGGGCCCTGCCTCTCAGAGCCTTCCATGGCAGGCTTGCAGCTCTCTCCTTTGCCCTTTTGGGGTGGATAGGGAGGCAGAATCCCCAATCTAAGCTTTGCTGGAGGCCTGCACTCTGTTTCCAAGGCTCTGAATTCCTTTGGAAAGAGCCGACATTAGACTCCTGGCTGACGTTCGGTGAAAAATCCCACCAGAGGCCAAGCAGGGTGGCTCACGCCGTAATTCCAGCACTTTGAGAGGCTGAGGTAGGAGGAGTGCTTAAACCCAGGAGTTTGAGGCTACAGTGAGCTATGATTGCACAAGTGCACTCCAGCCTGGGCAATAGACTGAGACCTTGTCTCAAAAACAAAAATTCCCATCAGAAACCAGCCCTATCCTCCTCATCCTCTCAGTAGCTGGCCAAGGAATGAGGGCCCCAAGTGCAGCTAGCATCCTACTTCATAGCAGCAGGGATTCTCTCTGGCAGAGGAAAGGAAGGCAGATGTTCTGGGCACTGAAGGGAGCTGTTTGGTATTTGCTCCGGGGCTCATTCATTCTCAACACCTCTAAGCCCAGCCATGAGGAAGGGAGAAGGGTTGGGAGGAGCATCAGTCCTGACCGAGATTCTGCAGTGAAGGCCTAGGTGTGAACAGGGAATAGAAGGCAGGCTTGTGACCTGAACATAGGCTGCTCGCTCTGCTCCAGAGCCTGTGTTTTTTGACGTTTCCCCTTGACTTGGCTGGGGAGAAGAAATGCCACAGTGGGGATCCTTCCACCTGACTCCTTGGTAGAGGAGGAGCCTGAAGAACAGGGCTCCTGCCAATGCCCAGTTTTCACGCGTCTCTTAGGATGAGCATTGCAGAAAGACCAGGTTTCCCAGGAGGCGGAAGGGAGGGCTTTGTCTTAGAAACTGTTCCTGTCTCCATAGCAACACGAAGGCAGCAATATATCTCGGAGGCATTCAGCATTCCATGTAAGACCTTCCTCATGTTGGGAAATTGTGCACGTGGGAGGGTGAGCAGAATGGACCAGACCCTGTCCAGGACTCCGAGCAACCTAAGGGTATCTGTATCCTCCAACTGCTGATACCCTAATGGCAGGGAGATGAGATGGGAGCTGGTCTTAGAGGAGCCACTCCCCTCCCCAGAGACCATGGCCAGGTTGGGGATTGAGGCATCTGTCACTTCAGTGCAGTCCTGGGCACTCGGAAAGCCCAGAACAGTGCTCTCAGGTGCCTGAAACACCTGCATCAAGTTTGAGCTTTCACTGGGCAGGCACCTCAGTGATGGTCAGGAAGCTCCTAGGTGGAAGCCCGGATTCAGGCCCAAAAGGACTGGCTCTAAGTCGCCTTGCCAGTACTGTCAGAAAGAAATTTATAAGGCTGGGCACGGTGCCTTATACCTGTAATCCCAGAACTTTGGGAGGCTGAGGCAGGTGGATCATCTGAGTTCAGGAGTTTGAGACTGGACTGGCCAACATGGTGGAATCCTGTCTCTACAAAAAATATAAAAATTTGCTGTGCATGGTGGTATGTGCTAGTAATCCCAGCTACTTGGGAGGCTGAGGCAGGAGAATCGCTTGAACCCAGGAGGTAGAGGTTGTAGTGAGCTGAGATCATGCCATTGCACTTCAGCCTGGGCAACAAGAGAGAAACTCCATCTGGAAGAAAGAAGGAGAGAGAGAAAGAGAGAAGGAGGGGAGGGGGAGAGGAAGAGAGTGAGAAAGAGAGAGAAGGAGGAGGAGGGGGAGGGGAGGGGGAAGGGATGGGAGGAGAGAGAGGGAGAGGGGAGGAGGAATTTATAGATGCTTCCTCACAGACCCCAGAATCACTTTCTGGAAGGGGTGACCCAGGTAGTATAGTAATTGGCTGTCTGCTGGTGTGTATAATGAACCAGATGGTAGTGGATAAGCTGGGCTTGCTAGTGTGAGCCTGTAGTCCTAGATACTAGAGAGGCTAAGGCAGGAGGATCATTTGAGCCCAAGAGTTTGAAACTGTGGTGAGCTATGACGGTACCACTGCACTCCAGCCTGGGCAACAGAGCAAGACCCTATCTCAAAAACAAAAACAACAGATGGCGGTAGGGGTGACTTCAATTTTAGGCATATCCAGGTTGGGAACCAGTGTTTCTGGAAGCAAGACCAACAAAAGACTCACTGGAGGGCTGAGCTGAGCAAGGTGATGGCCTGACCCACCTGTGCCCCACCCACCTCGTCATCCCCTCCTCCTCCTTTTTGTCCTCTGAGCCCTGTAGACCACTCCAAGTCCAGTTGAGCTGGTCCTGCCTTAGTTGGCCAGAAGATCCATCCACAACTCCAAGAAGAGTGCCTGCTAGACAGTAGGTGCACTACAGATACATGCAGGAGTGAAGGGGACTAGGCAGCCAACACGAGGTCCTAGCCAGGGAGCACACACCCTGCTTGCGCCCCTGTCCCTGAGTACTTCTTTGGCTGCTGGAGGCAGCTGAGGACAGATAGATTTCTAGAATGCTGTGTCCCTGAGTCCCAGAGATGCAGCTCATCCTCGCCATCCTGCTCTGGCCCCTTTCCAGGGTGTGGCTTCTCCAGGATGAATCAGAGCCTTGAAATGAAACCTTGTCCCCGTTACAGTGCTCTGTTCCTTTCCTTTCCCATGGAGGCTGTGAAACATTTTTTGGGACCTCTTGCTCCTTTAATTCCCAGATGTTTGGAAGCTGGTGTCTGGCCAGACATAGGAGAAGCGAGGGAAGAGGGGCAGGCTCTGTAGCATGGCCATTCTCGCACGCGGAAGGCAGGGTGAGCCTGGCTGACAGGTCCCATGGGGACTTCATGATAGCTCGGGCTGCCAAGTCAGTGGAGAAGGCGGACGGTGGGTCTTGAGAAGCAGCTGGGGCCAGCTGCAGCCCCGGGCACTGCAGGATCTCTTAGCCTCGCCATATCTGATGAGATGAAGTTCGTCACTTAGGTCTTCTCAAATACACATCTTGTCCGGGCATGGTGGCTCATGCCTATAACCCCAGCACTTTGGGAGGTTGAGGCAAGATGATTGATTGAGCCCAGGAGTTTGAAACCAGCTCGAGCAATATGGCAAAACCCCATCTCTAGTTTTTTAAAAAAGAGGAAGAGTACACCTTGATCCTAGCTCCTGCCCTGCCCAGATCCCAGCCAGTGTCACCAGCCCAATTCCTCCACCTCCTGCTTACCCCTGCCATACCCCCGGCAGCTGATTCATACTTCTGGCTCTGACATCCCCTGTTAAGGCTTCCTCTCCAACTGCTCTGTTCCTCACAGGTCCCAGGGTGCTTGGCAGTAGGCAGATCCAGACTGTGTCAGTGTGACCCTAGGACACCAGTGCCTGTGTGGGAGTTTAGCAGCCCACGAGCTGTTAGGAATTATTCATGGGTAGGAAAAATGCTTCTCAGCTCTTCTAGGATATAGGATCTCTGAACCCTAAAGACCAGGCTCAAAGGGTCAGTTCACTGAAAAACATGAATTTGGGAGAGGGAGGCAGAAACTAGATCCTTGTTCTGGAGACAGAACATGTTAGTTTCTCTGGAGGGAATTCTGGGCATCTGCTTGAAGCCAACTAGAACAGAAGTGGTTAAGACCCAGACACTCTCTAGGCTTTGAGGGCTCCCACCCCAAAGCAGCCTCCAGACCCTCAAGGAAAGGGAAAATGAGAGGTAGGAGGCACAACCGTGGGACCAGTGGGGCGAAGGGATCCTGAACAGCACAGCCCATGGTCCTCCCCAGTCCCATCCTGATGAGGACAGCGTGGGATCCCCTGCAACACAGCAAGTTCTCACCCAGCCCAGCTAGCTGTTGCCAGCCACTGTAAGGACAGGGAATGTTTGTGCTGGTTTTACAGAACTGGCATAAAAAGTTGGGAGAGCCACCTAGAGACTGCCCTCCCTTCCTCCCCGGGTCCTTTTGTTCCTAATGGAGGGCCAGGTTACAATCACCCTGCCTTGGTAGTCATGATTCCACAAAGTGGTCCAGGCGAGACAGGAATGTTCTCATGAACAGTCATAGCAGAAAAAAAAAAAAAAAAAAGACCAACAGGTTTGTGTTTAAGCCTGGTCCACCTGTTACAGTAAGATGCTTATTAAAAAGGGGAACTTTGGTTTTACTTGTCCTATATTTTACACAAATTGAAAGGAAATAGAGGCCTTCTTGGCTTATTATACCCATGGAGAGGGTTTCCAGACAGGAGCCACAGCAATGTCCCCTCTCTCTAGACAGCAGCAGGAGAGAGGGGACATTGCACATCACGATAGAGACACCAACAGCAGACACCATCAGAACTTGGGGCATTTCTCTTGGCCTTGGAGTAGAAGGGCCCACAGGGTCTTGAAATGGCAGATAGGAAGAGGGTGGTGGGTGGTGGTAAGAGTGAGGCTTCCATCCAGCCCAGGGGCTGAGGGGAGGGACCTTCCTATCTTGCTTTCACCATCTTACAGAAACCTGGCAGAATAGCCAGGTCAGTGGAAGCTGTGGAAGGCTGTCTTTAAGAGTTATTTCTTTAAAAAATTATAAAAGTAGGCCAGGCATAGTGGCATCTGCCTGTAGTCCCGGCTACTCAGGAGGCTGAGACAGGAGGATTGCTTAAGTTCAGGAGATTGAGACCAGCCTGGACAACATAGTGAGACCCTCATCTCTACAAAACAGAACAAAATACGGTGTGGTGATGCACACCTGTGGTCCCAACTTCTCGGGAGGCTAAAGCTGGAGGATCGATTGAGCCCAGGAGGTCGAGTGTGCAGTGAGCCATAATGATGCCACTGCACTCCAGTCTGGGTGACAGATGAGATGTAAAAACAAACAAAAATTGTGTAGGCTCAATGGCTCACACCTGTAATTCCAGCACTTTGGGAGGCTGAGGTAGGCAGATTGCTTCAGGCCAGGAGTTCAAGACCAGCATGGCCAAAACATGGTGAAACCCCGTCTCTACTAAAAATACAAAAATTAGCTGGGCGTGCTGGCACATGCTTGTAGTCCCAGCTACTCAGGAGGCTGAGGCAGGAGAATCGCTTGAACCCAAGAGGCAGAGGCAGAGGTTGCAGTGAGCCGACATAGCACCACTGCATTCCAGCCTGGGCGACAGAGTGAGACCATGTCACAACAATAATAATAATAATAAATAAAAACATATATAATAAAAATGGGTTAAGCCCCCAATCTTATTCTGAGAGTAACCAATGCTTTTTATTTTTATTTTTATTTTTTGAGACAGTCTTGCTCTGTCACCCAGGCTGGAGTGTGATGGTGTGATCTTGGCTCACTGCAACCTCTGCCTCCAAGGTTCAAGCCAGTCGCCTGCCTCAGCCTCCCAAGTAGCTGGCATTGCGGGTGCATGCTGCCACACCCAGCTAATTTTGTATTTTTCTTTTTTTTTTTTAAGTAGAGATGGGATTTCACCATGTTGGCCCAGGTTGGTCTCAAACTCCTGGCCTCAAGCAGTCTGCCCATCTTAGCCTCTCAAAGTCCTGAGATGACAGGCGTGAGCCACCACGCCTGGCCTGTTTGATTGTAAATAATTCTGCAGTGAATATCCTCATAAGCATCTTTGCACACCTATGCAGCCATTTTTATAGGATAGATTTCTAGCAATAAAATTCCTGGGTTGGAGTATACACCATTTGCATTTCTGATGGATAGCCTCAAACTATCCTCTAAGAATCTTGTACCAGTTTCCATGGCAGTTGATTCTCATGTCACCCTCTTGTCCCTGCAGGATGAATCAGGCACCAACCGTGGGCTTTGAGCAAGATGTTGGCAGCCGAACCACCCACCATTTCATGTACCCTGAGAGTGCCAAGAACCTGCCCGCCAACGTCAGCTTCGTGCTGGTGCCCTTCAAGGCCCTGGACCTTCTGTGGATCGCCAGCGCCCTGTCCACAGGGCAGATCCGATTGTGAGCCTCTTGCTCGCCCGGGTAGAATATGGGTGACAGGAACACCTTGGGCAGAGTCTTCCTGGGGGCCAGATTGTAGAATTCCTTTCATTGAACATTTTGGCCAAGAGGTGCTGGTGAGAAGGGAGGGCCTAAGATGGTGGGTGAGCTGAAGGCACAGCTTGCTCTGTGTCACTTCCTGCGTGGTGACACCTAGCATACTGATGGTGGAAAGATGAGGAAAGACCATCTGGTTTTGGTCTCCTTTCTGGGTGATAGCTCCCAGCTGAGGGAGCTCTGCCTTCTGAGGACTTTCTTTGGGGGCAGTTATCCCATCATAGCTGGGAACCATGGGAAATCTAGTTCCCCAAGTATATTTTTTAGCAGCTTTATCACAATATGATTCACATCCCATATATCTCACCTATTTAATGTATATAATCTAGTAACTTCCATATATTCAGTTGTATAACCATGACCACAATTAATTTTATTTTTAAAAAATTTTATTATGTTTTTGAGATGGAGTCTCACTGTATCACCCAGGCTGGAGTGCAGAGGGGGAATATTGGCTCACTGCAACCTCTGCCTCCTGGATTTAAGTGATTCTTGGCGCTTCAGTCTCCCGAGTAGCTGGGATTACTGACACATGCCACCACACCTGGCTAATTTTTGTATTTTAAGTGGAGACAGGGTTTCACCATGTTGGCAAGGCTGGTCTCAAACTCCTGATGTCAAGTGATCCACCTGCCTCGGCTTCCCAAAGTGTTGAGATTATAGGCGTAAATCGCCACACCCGGCCCACAATTAATTGTTTTCGTTTTGTTTTTGAGATGGAGTCTCACTCTGTTGCCCAGACTGGAGTGCAGTGACACAATCTCGGCTCACTGTAACCTCTGCTTCCCAGGTTCAAGCAATTCTCCTGCCTCGGCCTCCCGAGTAGCTGGGATTACAGGTGTGTGTCACCACGGATCTGGCTAATTTTTGCATTTTTAGTAGAGATGGGGTTTTGCCATGTTGGCCAGGCTGGTCTCAAACTTCTAACCTCAGGTGATCCGCCCGCCTTGGCCTCCCAAAGTGCTGGGATTACAGGAAATGAGCCACCACACCCAGCCCCACAATTAAATTTAAAACATTTTCATGTTCTTCTGGGCACAGTGGCTCATACCTGTAATCCCAGCACTCTAGGAGGCCAAGGAGGGTGGATTGCTTGAGCCCAAGAGTTCGAGACTACCCTGGGCAACATGGTGAAACTCCGCTCTATAAAAAATACAAAATTGGCCAGGTGCAGTGGCACACACCTGTAATCCCATCACTGTGGGAGGCTGAGGCAGGCAGATCACAAGGTCAGGTGTTCCAGGGCAGCCTGGCCAACATAGTGAAACCCCATCTTTACTAAGTACACAAAAAAATTAGCTGAGCATGGTGGTGGGTGCCTATAATCTCTATTTGGGAGGCTAAGGTAAGGAGAATCACTTGAACCTAGGAGGCAGAAGTTGCAGTGAGCCGAGATCGCATCACTGCACTATAGGCCAGGTGACAGAGACTCTGTCTCAAAAAAAAAAAAAAAAACAATTGGCTGGGTATGGTGACTCAAGCCTGTAATTTCAGCACTTTTGGAGCTGAGGCAGGTAGATCACAAGGTCAGGAGATCAAGACCATCCTGACCAACATTTGGAAACCCTGTCTGTACTAAAATACACACACACACACACACACACACAAATAGCCAGATATGGTGGCATGCCTCTATACTCTGGAAGCTCAGGTGGGAGGATTGGATTGCCTGTACCTGGGAGGCAGAGGTTACAGTGAGCTGAGATTGTACCATTGCACTGCAGCCTGGGCAACAGAGCAAGGGTCTGCCTCAAAAAAAAAAAAAAAAAAAGGAACATTTTCATGGTCTAAGGGGTCTTTAAAGATAAAAATCTAGATACCCCTGGGTCCCGAAGTCATCACCCCCACTCCTCCCAACCCCAGCCCAAGGCAACCATTACTTTACTCTGTCTCACCATGTATTTTTGTTGTGTTGTAAGATAAACACTATATAAAATTTACCATTTTAACTAATTTAACTCAGTAACATTAAGTATATTCACATTGTTGTATAGCCATCTCCATTTCCAGAACATTTTCATTATCCCAAATGGAAACTGTACACATTAAACACTAACTCTCCATTGTCCCCTCCCCTCAGTCCTGGGTAAGCTTATTCTACTTTGTGTCTCTATGACTTGGCTATTCTTTTTTTTGTTTGTTTTTGAGACCAAGTCTCACACTGTTGCCCAGGCTGGAGTGCAGTGGCATGATCCTGGCTCACTGCAACCTCTGCCTCCCGGGTTCAAGTGATTCTGCCTCCCATGTAGCTGAGATTACAGGAATGGGGTTCATTCTTTTTTAGTAGAGACGGGGTTTCACTATGTTGGCCAGGCTGGTCTCAAACTTCTGACCTCAAGTGATCTGCCCAACTCGGCCTCTCTAAGTGCTGGGATTACAGGCTGGCCTGATTTGACTATTCTTTTTTTTTTTTTTTTTTTTCTGGAGATAGGGTCTCACTCTGTTGCCAAGCTGGAATGCAGTGGCGCAATCTCGGCTCGCTGCAAACTCCGTCTCCTGGGTTCAAGAGATTCTTCTGCCTCAGCTTCCTGAGTAGCTGGGACTACAGGCACGTGCTACCACACCCAGCTAATTTTTTCTGTTTTTAGTAGACAGGGTTTCACCATGTTGGCCAGGATGGTCTTGATCTCTTGACCTCATGATCTGCCCTCCTTGGCCTCCTGAAGTGCTGGGGTTACAGATGTGAGCCACTGTACCCGGCTTGATTTGACTATTCTTTTTTTTTTTTGAGATAGAGTTTTGCTCGTTACCCAGGCTGGAGTGCAATGGCAAGATCTCGGCTCACCGCAACCTCCGCCTCCTGGGTTCAAGCAATTCTCCTGCCTCAGCCTCCCGAGTAGCTGGGACTACAGGCACGCACCACCATGCCCAGCTAATTTTTGTATTTTTAGTAGAGACGGGGTTTCACCTTGTTGACCAAGATGGTCTTGATCTCTTGACCTTGTGATCCACCCGCCTCGGCCTCCCAAAGTGCTGGGATTATAGGCGGATTTAACTATTCTTTTTGTTTGTTTGTTTGTTTGTTTGTTTGTTTGTTTTTGAGACGGAGTTTCGCTCTTGTTACCCAGGCTGGAGTGCAATGGCGCGATCTCGGCTCATCGCAACCTCCGCCTCCCGGGTTCAGGCAATTCTCCTGTCTCAGCCCCCTGAGTAGCTGGGATTACAGGCATGTGCCACCATGCCCAGCTAATTTTTTGTATTTTTAGTAGAGACGGGGTTTCACCATGTTGATCAGGATGGTCTCGATCTTTTGACCTCGTGATCCACCCGCCTCGGCCTCCCAAAGTGCTGGGATTACAGGCTTGAGCCACCGCGCCCGGCCGATTTAACTATTCTTGGTGCCTCATATAAGTCAGATCATAACTATATTTGTCCTTTTGTCTGACTGACTTAGCATAATGTCCTTGTTGTTCATCCATGTTGTCAGAATTTCCTGTTTTTTAAAGGCTGAAAACACTTCCATTGTAAGGATATACCTGTTTTGTTTATCTTTTTATTCTTCAGTGGACACTTGGTTTGTTACTACCTTTTGGTTCTTGTCACCATGTATTTTATAAACACAAAAGTAATGAATTATAATTTCTTGACTTTAGGATATTCATTATGTCATGTTTGGAAGACCTGAGGGCTAAAATGAGTGCAATAGAGTTGAAGTACCACAGACATTCAGAGAAGGGCATGTAGGTTACAGGGGCCATGGCTGGCTACAAAGAGGTGGGGTCTGTGTGAAGCCTGAGGGTAGTGGATTGAGGGCAGGTGTGAGAGCAGAGACATGGTGGATTTGAGATGATGGCCAGCTCTAATGGAGAGCTCACAGCAGAGAGCTGGGGGAGGAAGGTTGGGGCTGGACTAGCGAAGGCCACAGCACTTGCCTAAAACATTCCCATTTTATTTTGGATGCCATGGGGAGCCATTGGAGGCTCTAGAGCAAGGCATGGCAGTGATGAAAGAGCCGGGGAAGAGCAGTCCAGAAGCAGAGCAGTCTGGAAGGTGCGGGGCTGACGTCACTCAGACCTGGTGGGGAGGGGCACCCCTAGGTCCCATGGGGCTACCTGAAATGTTACCTTTCTTTTATTTTTTGAGATGGAGTCTTACTCTGTCACTCAGGCTGGAGTGCAGTGATGTGATCTCTGCTCACTGCAACCTCTGCCTCCCAGCTCAGCTCACTGAAACCTCAGCCTCCCAAGTAGCTGGGATAACAGCTAGGCACCACCACACCCAGCCAATTTTTGTATTTTTAGCAGAGATGGAGTTTCACCATGTTGGTCAGGCTGGCTTCGAACTCCTGGTCTCAGGTGATTCACCTGCCTTGGCCTCCCAAAGTGCTGGGATTGTAGGCGTGAGCCACCGCCCCTGGCCTGAAATGTTATCTTTCTGTCTGCTTACAGCACCTACGCCCCAGTGAAGTCGTTCCTTCGAGTGGATAAAGAAAAGGTAAGCTCCTCACTTCCCACCTCAGTGGAAACAGTGCTGGCCCAGCCTGTGCACGTGGTCCTTCAGCGTAGGTGTGTTCCATTTCCCCTCCAGAACCACAGGGTCCCCATGTGCTGGGATGCCTGACCCCAGCCGTGCCACAGGAGCCAGGAGACACAAACACATGTCTGCTGACGGGCATAGACAAGCAGAATCTGCTCAGTCTAGCCTGAATCTCCGCCCCTAAACCCCTCATGTACCTGTTATCTCTTCTCCCAGGTCCAGATCTACAACCCAGCCTTCTTCAAGTATATCCACGACAGGTGGACAGAGCATCACGGGCGGTACCCTTCCACAGGGATGCTGGTGCTCTTCTTTGCCTTGCATGTGTGCGATGAGGTGGGTAGGCCTGTGGCGGGGGTAGTGGGAACCCATGGAACAGAGGAGTGCAGCCTTTCTCCAGTCTTAGCAGGCTTCCACAGGAATGTGGTTCTTTAGGCAGAATCCACGTGGCCTTGGTTTCCCCTACCTCTAGGTTGTAAAGCATAGATCTGCCTTTCCCAAATGCTTTTTGCTGTCATAAGTTTACTAAGTCCGAAATCACTTCATTAAAAAGTTAAATTATTGGCAGGGTGCAGTGGCTCACACCTGTCATCCCAGCACTTTGGGAGGCTGAGGTGGGTGGATCACTTGAGGTCAGAAGTTTGAGAGCAGCCTGACCAACATGGGGGAACCCCATCTTTATTAAAAATACAAAAAATTAGCCGGGTGTGGTGGGGCACGCCTATAATCCCAGCTACTCGGGAGGCTGAGGCAGGAGAATCACTTGAACCTAGGAGGTGGAGGTTGCAATGAGCCAAGATCGCGCCACTGCACTTCAGCCTAGGTGACAGAGCAAGACTCTGTCTTGAAAAAGGAATGAAAGAACATAAATAGAATGGAGAGTGTATGTAGTTGAATTCCAACTGAAGGGCTGCCCCCACCAGCTCTGAGCCCCAAGCCTACTTCGTGTAAAAATGGAACTTAGTCGTTCAGAGGACCCGTTCCACCAGTGGCCAGGGCTGCCATGCCACCAAGAGCAGAGCTGAGGCCCAGTACACCCACCTTGCCAGCAAGTGCTTCATTGCAATGGTGCTGATCAAAAGCACTCCATTTCAAAAAATGAAAGGAGGAATTAGCAAGGGCTGGAGAGGAAGGACAACTGCAAAGGGAAGGTGGTGTCCCCATGTGAGTCCATATCCTTAGGCCAGGCCCGGCGGGTCCGGCATCTCCCCGGGGCCTCCCTCTCCCCTGTCCTCCCTGTCATCCCGAGGCCGCCCCAGCTGTCCTCTGGGTCCCCGCCTGGGGTGACGCCGCGCCGCGCTTCCCCGCAGGTGAACGTGTACGGGTTCGGGGCCGACAGCCGGGGCAACTGGCACCACTACTGGGAGAACAACCGGTATGCGGGCGAGTTCCGGAAGACAGGCGTACACGACGCGGACTTCGAGGCCCACATCATCGACATGCTGGCCAAGGCCAGCAAGATTGAGGTCTACCGGGGTAACTGAGCTGGGCCTCGCCGTGCCCCTCCCGGCACAACCGTCAGGCGCCCGCGCTCCGGCCCGGGACCTGGGACCCGGGACCCATAATGCTGCAGTACAGGGGGCGCCTGCTGTCCCCTGCCAATCACGAGACTCTGGGGACCGGCCGGGCCTGGCACCAATCAGCGCTGCAGTCGGGCGGAGCTTCTGTTTCTCCCAGCTAGTCATGCGACTTAAGGAGAACTTCCGGTGCTGGGTCCTGTCTCCTCCAATCAATGGCCTTCGGGGGCGGGCCGGTGGCCGCTCAGTCCCCACTTCCTTATGCTTTGGGCTAGGGTTTTCTTTCCCGCTTTCTGAGGAGGGCATGCCGTGGGCCTTGGCAAAGCACTTCTTTCAGGCTTCGCCGAAGGGGCGTCTCAGTCGCTGGCCGGCCCGGGAGGAGAGTGGACGCCCTCTGCGGTCGCTGCGGGCCTCAGGAGAGCGGTGGCCACCTGGCCCCTTTCCCCGCCGGCCCGGATGGGCGCGTGCAGACCCACCAAAGAAACGCAGTCGGGGCGGAGCCCGGGACGCGGGGTCCGCCGTCCCACCTCGCCCCGCCTCGGCAGCACTGTGGGACGGCCGCTCCCCCAGGGCCTCCCGCGTCTCCAGGAAGCTGGGGATGGCGTCCGCTACAGGGTGGGGTGCGCCCGGGCCGAACTCCGGACAGGTGGAGGGGACAGGGCAGGGCTCGAGGAAGCCCTGTCCCCTCCAGTGCAAGGTGCTCTCACTCACGTGTGCCCTCGGCCCTCCTGTTCACCCGCAGCCTTCTCAGCGCCTCTCCCTGGGCCCGGGGCCTCCTCACCAGCCTACCTGTTGCTCTGGAAAAAAACCCTGCCTCCTGGCTCCCTCCTTTCCCCAGTCTTTGGCCGGCTCTGGGGAGGTGGCTGAATGGCGGAACGAGGCTGACGATGGGCCTGGCTGCTCGCTGCATGCACCTCCTTCACCCATCGCCTCTCGCTTGGGGGTGAATTTGCCTAGGGCTTATGTTTTGGTTAAGCCGAAGCTGCCCGGGGTGGCCGACGCGCTGATTCTTTGTAAATCCTGAGCTGGCCCAGCCCGCAGCCCGCAGCCCGCAGCCGCCCGGGGAGGAGGAGACTTGTGCACAGCAGGTCATCTCCTTCTACCCCGCTCTCCATCTCCTGTCCTAGAAGGGCTGGGAAGCTCGCAGCTGGAGTTCCACCTGGAAGCTGCTTGCATGGCTGAACCCAGCTTAGGTCCCTGGCTGGGCTGCTGGTGAATTCTCCCCCTTTGAGGCTGGGGAAGTTTAGGAGGGGGCGAGGGCTTCTGTGAAGCTCTCAAACCACTAATAGAACCCCCTTTCCAACAGTGACGGTGCAGATGCTCCCCCTTTTCCTAGTTGACAGCACCAAGCAGCCTCCTGGCCCTTGGTGGGTTCCTGCAGCTGGCTGGGGGAACAGGGACCTGCAGGGGATTTGGTTAGGGGAGGGTTGGGACAGGCAGTGTGCACCTCTGAAAGTTAATATATTGGGAACTTAGCTTGAATGTGGTCCTTCCCAATTCCGAAAGTAGGAAGAGTAAAAATGGGGGTGATGGGAGGGCAGTAGAATGCCTCTCGGGGCGCCCCTAACCCCCACCGTTTTAGAGAGCTAGGCCCCAGCCAGTCTTGCTACTCCCATCTCAGTGTTTCCTGAAGAGGCTGTTTTGAGTGTTGAAAATATGAAAAACAATGCAATTATGCCAAACAGTATTGAGCAGAATAATTTATTTCTTGTTTATTTTGTTTTAAATCATGAATCCGGCCAGGCACGGTGGCTCACACCTGTCATCCCAGCACTTAGGGAGGCTGAGGTGAGCAGATCGTAAGGGCAGGTGTTCAAGACCAGACTGGTCAACATGGCGAAACCCCGTCTCTACCAAAAAATAAAAAAATTAGCCGGGCATCGTGGTGTGCACCTGTAATTCCAGCTACTCGGGAGGCTGAGGCATGAGAATCCCTTGAACCCAAGCAGTGAAGGTTGCAGTGAGCCGAGATTGTGTCACTGCATTCCAGCCTGGGCAACAGAGCGAGACTCCGTCTCAAAAAATTAAATACCCATCCTTTAAGAGGTAGGTCCCAGCATCCAGCCAGATCTTTTCTGCAATAGTTATTTAAACAAACTTTTTTTATTTCCTTCCCTTTCTCTTTCTGAATTAAAAAGAAAAAAACTTTCTAGTTCTTCATTGTTCTGAAATGGGCATGATGGTGGGGAGAAGGCAGTCTCTGGAAGGTGGCTGTGACTTATAATGGCTGAGAATGTTGGGGGATACGGGACGAGCAAGATGACTCCCAGACACCACCTATAAACGAGGCACCTCATGCCTGAACTCTGCTCTCTAAAACCCCATGGCACTGAAATCTGAGAGGCTGCAAGCATTTTGGTTAAAATTCAACTCATCCCTCCTCTGTTTCTTCTAAGAGGAATTCATTGGAGAGAATTCCTGGTAGCAGCTCCTCGCAGTGGCTGTCCTTTAACCACTTTGGCCTCTAATAGTGACGTCTCCAGGTCTCCATCAGGCTCTGATGCATTTGGGTGGCCACAGGCTGCACTGTCCCCACCTCTCAGGGAGTGCATCTAAGCCAGGTTTTCCCCTTTGGCACAGCCCTGCCTCTACACAGCCCCGTTTCCATCATGATACGGGTGACCAGCAATTTTTTGGGGGGGAGGAGGGGTGGAGTCTTGCTCTTGTTGCCCAGGCTGGAGTGGTGGTGCCATCTCGCCTCGAAAAAAAAAAAAAAAAAGTTTTACCATGTTGCCCAGGCTAGTCTTTAATTCCTGGGCTCAAGCAGTCTTCCCTTCTCAGTCTCCCAAAGTATTGTGATAACAGGTGTGAGCCACTGTACTGAGCCTGCGACCCACATTTTGACTCCACGTGGTACAAGGGAGGGAAGAGCCATCTCTGGAACACGTGCTGGAGGCAGTGTCTTACCGTGCCACCCAGGCACAATCACAGCTCACTGCAACCTCTGCCTCCCAGGTTGAAGCAATTTTCCTGCCTGAGCCTCCTGAGTAGCTGAGACTACAGGCACCCACCACTACACCCAGCTCAGGGAGCCTTGGGTGGTACTGCTTGTGGACCCAAGGGTGGTTTCACAGGTTTAGAGTTGATGGGAACAAGGACAAGGGGGAGGCGTAAGGTGACTGGGACTTCACTCCCTGAGGCCAGAACTCAAAGCTTGGGGACTGCGGCACAGTACCAGGGTGTCTCTGACCAGAACAGGCCTGGGGCATTGGAACTTGGATTTGGTAAACCTGGAAAGAGGTGGTCACTTGGTAGGTCACTGCTGAGGGTTACCAAGCACGCTTCCCCAGCACTCAACTGAAGTTTATTCTCCATGCCATTCCTGGGAGGGTGTGTATGTGTCAAGCACTGCACTCAGCCCTTAGCAAGGCACTTGTGGGTCCCAGCATCCCTGCTGCTACCACACCCAGCTGATTATTTTATTCTTTTATTTATTTATTTATTTATTTATTTTTGAGACGGAGTTTCGCTCTTGTTACCCGGGCTGGAGTGCAATGGCACGATCTCGGCTCACCGCAACCTCTGCCTCCTGGGTTCAAGCAATTCTCCTGCCTCAGCCTCCCGAATAGCTGGGACTATGGGCGTGCGCCACCATGCCCAGCTAATTTTTGTATTTTTAGTAGAGACGGGGTTTCACCTTGTTGACCAGGATGGTCTCGATCTCTTGACCTCGTGATCCACCCGCCTCGGCCTCCCAAAGTGCTGGGATTATAGGCGTAAGCCACCGCGCCCAGCCTTATTCTTTTATTTTTAAAAGATGGTGTTTTAGGGCTGGGCAAGGTGGTCACACCTGTAATCTCAGCACATTCGGAGGCTGAGGCGGGTGGATCATCTGAGGTCAGGAGTTGAAGTCCAGGCTGGCCAACATGACAAAACCCCATCTCTACTAAGAAGTACAAAAATTAGCTGGCTCATTGCAACCTCCAACCTCCAGGTTCAAGTGATTCTCCTGCCTCAGCCTCCTGAGTAGCTGGGATTACAGGCGTTCACCACCATCCCCGGCTAGTTTTTGTATTTTTAGTAGAGACGGGGTTTCATCATGTTGGCCAAGCTAGTCTCTAACTCCTGACCTCAGGTGATCCACTCATCTCCGCCTCCCAAAGTGCTGGGATTACAGGCTTGAAGGGGTTTCACCAGATTGGTTAGGCTGGTCTCAAACTCCTGACCTTGTGATTTGCCCACCTCGGCCTCCCAAAGTGTTGGGATTACAAGCATGAGCCACGCAGCCCAGTCGATTTTTTTTTTTTTTTTTTTTAGACAGAGTTTCGCTCTTGTTGCCCAGGTTGGAATGCAATGGAGCAATCTTGGCTCACTGCAAACTCTGCCTCCCAGGTTCAAGCGATTCTCCTGCCCCAGCCTCCTGAGTAGCTGGGATTACAGAAGCGCACCACCATGCCCAGCCGACGTCTGTATTTTTAGTAGAGATGGGGTTTATTTATTTATTATTACTATTTTTTTACAAAGATGAGGTTTTACCATGTTGGTCAGGCTAGTCTTGAACTCCTGACCTCAGGTAATCCGCTCACCTTGGCCTCCAAAGTGCTTGGTTTACAGGTGTGAGCCACCACGCCCGACTGAGATGGGGTTTCACCGTATTGGCCAGACTGGTCTTTAAGAACTCCTGACCTCATGATCCACCTGCTTTGGACTCTCAAAGTGCTGGAATTACAGGTGTAAGCCACCATGCCCAGCCTCTGGTTGCTTAGCTCCTTTGTCATGATGGAGATTTTTTTTTTTTTAAGGGACAGGGCCTCCTGTCACCCAGGTGGGTACAGAGCTCACTGCAGCCGCAAACTCCTGGACTCAGGTGATTCTCCCACCTCAGCTTCCAGAGCAGCTAGGACTACAGGTGCATGCTACCATACCCAACTTTCTCATTTTATCTTTAGAGATGGAGTTGACTGGGATGATGCCAACCTCCTGGCTTCAAGTGATCCTCCCACCTTAGCCTTCCAAGCACTTAGGATTGCAGGTGTGAGCCAACTTGCCCTGCTGATGGATATTTTTAAAATATGGGAGTATCAAATTCAAACTTCTTGAAAACAAAATTTAAATAACAAAAAGAAATCTGGGGCTGGGCACAGTGGTTCACACCTATAATCCCATCACATTGGGAAGCTAAGGTGAGAGGATTGCTTGAGTCCAGCAGTTCAAGACCAGCCTGGGTATTAACATAGTGAGATCCCATGTCTAAACAAAATTAGCCTCACACATTGGTGCATACCTGTAGTCCCAGCTGCTCTTAGATGCTGAGATGGGAGGATCACTTGTGCCTGACAGACAGAGGCTATATTGAGCTATGATCTCACCAATGCACTATAGCCTGGGCAACATAGCATGCCTGCAGGAGGGAAGAACACAATTAACTATTTTACCACTAGGCAGTAAATTACAGGCTAACACTTGTAATCCCAGCATTCTGGGAGGCCAAGGTGGGAGGATTCCTTAAGACCAGGGGTTCAAGGCTGCAGTGAACTACGATTGCACCACTGCACTGCAGTCTGGGTGACAGAGTAAGACTGGTTTTTTTTAGATGGAGTTTTGCTCTTGTTGCCCAGGCTGGAGTGCAGTGGCGTGATCTTGGCTCACCGCAACCTCCGCCTCCCAGGTTCAAGCATTCTCTTGCCTCAGCCTCCAGAGTAGCTGGGACTACAGGCGCCCACCACCACACCTAGTTAATTTTTGTATTTTTAGTAGAGATGGGGTTTCACCATGTTGGCCAAGATGGTCTTGATCTCTTGACCTTGTGATGTGCCTGCCTCGGCCTCCCAAAGTGCTGGGATTACACGTGTAAGCCACCGCACCTGGCTGAGACTCTGACTCTTTAAAAAAAATTTTTTTTTTGAGACGTTGTTTCATTTTTGTTGGCCCGGCTGGAGTACAACGGCATGATCCTGGTTTACCACAACCCCCATCTCCCAGGTTCAAGCAATTCTTCTACCTCAGCCTCCCAAGTAGCTAGGATTATAGGCATGTGCCACCATGCCCAGCTAATTTTGTATTTTTAGTAGAGTCATGGTTTCTCCATGTTGGTCAGGCTGATCTCCGACCTCAGGTGATCTGCCCAGCTCTGCCTCCCAAAGTGCTGGGATTATAGGGGTTAGCCACTGCACCTGGCCAAAATAAAACATTTTAAAAGTATTTTGGACAGGACCAGTGGCTCACACCTGTAATTCCAGCACTTTGAGAGGCTGAGGTGGATGGATCACAAGGCCAGAAGCTCGAGACCATCCTGGCTAACATGGTGAAACTCTATCTCTACTAAAAAGATAAAAAATTAGCCGGGCGTAGTGGAACGCGCCTGTAGTCCCAGTTATTTGGGAGGTTGAGGCAGGAGAATTACTTGAACCCGGGAGGTAAAGGTTGCAGTGAGCCGAGATGGCGCCACTGCACTCCAGCCTGGGCGACAAAGTGAGACTTCATCTCAATAACAAAACAAAACGTATTTTGCCCATCCACAGGCAGCAGACAAG